GGAAGCCTCCAGTGCCTTTTTAGGATAGAGCTTTGTCTTCAGAGAATTAATTGTTCTAAATCATTCAGGGAATTCCATCTAAAGTAAATTAGCACAGCCAACTTTGTGTCCTGAGCAGAGAAAAAGAGTAGTGATGTCCAGCTTATGGTCTGTCCCTCACATAACATTAATTCAAGATAAATAGAAAAGTATTTCAGGGATCTCACTGAAAAGAATGCCAATCAAAATCGGATTTATTAAGAGTAACCATTTCAGTGAAAGTCTGAAGTTGCAATATATTCTCTTGAATTAAACACCAAAGCAGTATAGAGTTAAATAATTTTGTATTTATCAGACCAAACCACTTTATAGGTAACTGAATACCACTCGGGTATTAAAAGACAATACAGTGCTTCTGGATAATTTTCTTAATTTCCTTATTAAAACTCTTGCTCTTAACTCACGCATATTTATCAGCCTCCCTTGAGTATTAGACTGTGTTAATGAAATCTTAATTCCAGCTCTCACATTACACAATCAGGTAGAATAAAGATCCTTCGTATCCAAAGCAACTATCAAGGGCTGATAGCAGCTTATTTTTAATTCACAGTGCCATATACACTAAATGTCATTTTCCTTTCCTCTCGTCTGCAGGATGGATATTTATGGGGACATTTATTGAATGTTTATTCTTTCTTTCTCCCTCTTTCTTTCTTTCCTCCAACAGAATTATTCAGTTTACTATGGTTGTTACAGATTTACCCATGTAAAGCTTGTTCACACTTGCAAAAAAGCTTCTATACTTCATTAATGCAGTTCAATGTAATTACATACACAGCTGCGCATCCATGCTTTTGGAAGAATGTCTTCCAAAATTCATCAGAAGAAATGTTCTTCGTGAACTTTGGATTGTACCTTCATGCACAAACTGTTTAGTTTCTCGCTGTTAACTTAGGAGAGTGCATGAAATGCCAGTGAAAATAACTCTTTCCTCTGAAAGGGATGGAATGGATGTTATGTACCTTCCTTTTTCTTTTTTTTCCCTTTGTCAAAAGAGATAAAGTCCAAAAGAATCTGCATTTCCCTCCAAGCTCACTCTCTGCTCTCCTCTGTCTCTTCAAGCAAGCATTTTCCTCCAGAGCTTGCTTATCTGATTAAATATTGTACCTCTTCTAGGGTAATAGGTATTTCTTCCTGGAAGTTTTTATTTCCTTGTATAGGTTTCAAAGGCAACAGCTATCTTAAAATTAGACATCTACCTTTTAAATGCTTGGATGCTTAAATGGAAACACATGAATATATTCTCTCCTGTATTATCTGTGATGGGGAGTCTAACCCTTGCCAGATCATCACTTAAGCTGCTTGCGGAGGCTTTGCACATACAAACCAGGGCTCTTCTACCTTTTTCTAATTGAGTTTCTTGCTGAAAAATAAACAAAGACAACCACTTGATAAGACATAGTGATCTTCTTTTCCACACACATTAAACAGTTTTGATTTCATTTCATAAAATCATAATCATAGAATCGTAGAATGGCCTGGGTTGCAAAGGAGCACGATGCTCATCCAGCTCCAACCTCAGCTGTGTGCAGGTCACCAACCAGCAGCCCAGGCTGCCCAGAGCCACATCCAGCCTGGCCTTGAATGCCTGCAGGGATGGGGCATCCACAGCCTCCTTGGGCAACCTGTGCCAGTGCCTCACCACCCTCTGGCTGAAAAACTTCCTCCTCATATCCAACCTAAACCTCCCCTGTCTCAGTGAAAAACCATTTCCCCTTGTCCTATCACTATCTTAAGTTCCTGAGTTTCTGGCACATTATCCATAATAACAGAAAATAACGGTCCTATAGCATAGAATACAATGCAGTATAGTCTTATAGGATAGTATAGAGCACCAACAGACACTGCTTCATCTTAACTATCTTCTAAACCACTTCCAAAGTGCATCAAAGTGATTTCTATAGTGACATAAGTACCTACTCTTGTTTACTATAACCACCGCCCAAGCAACTAGACTAGACCACAAAAGATAATTAAAGCTCATTAAATGCTGCAGAGGTCTGTATTCTGGATCTCACACTTTAGCACTTCTGATCTTGTTCTCCATGGGATGATGCTTTTACATCTGTAAGAGTTTGCCAGAGACTTTTGCCATTTTATTTGATGCAGTATCAGTTTGCACATCGCTCAGCATGAGCTATATGACATATACACTTTCATGCAGACATTATTTTCCCCTTGTTTTTCACAGAAGCTCATCTGAGTTCAGTTAGAAAGCACTCTCTGTAACTTTCTGAGCAGGGGAAGCACAGAGGGAAGTGCCATTCTCTTCTTCTTGTTGACCGATGAGACTCCTGGGATTGACACAAAGCTGCATTGGGGTGTTCAGACTGGACATAAGGAAACCAAATTTCCACACATTGTTTTGATCCTTGAACCGGTGCAGTGAATTCAAATCAGTTTACTGAAAAACTATGCAATTTCTACTTTCCTGCCTCTTTTGATGTCTTTACAGCCACAGTGTGCAGTAGGAAAAAATATAATGTGCTTGGTTTTGAGCGTTTTATTATCAAGTACATAATGAGTTTGGAGAGACGGATACTGCAAATGAATTACACGAGAGAGGAAACGGCAGATTTTCTACTAATGATTTTTTTCTGTGTGCATATTATGGTACTTTAAGGCTAACTGAAAAGCATTTCAATTTTAGCAGACACCTCTAGGCAAGTGAGTTCTTCTTTCCATCAAAAATACTTTCATCTCAAGGAAAACCTAATTCGTTTCCTGCTTTATGTTCCCAGAATAACTGTATCTCACTCTCAATTCAAGTGAAAAATAACATAGAAAATGACTTTCTGCTTTAAGAAGTCTAAATAGTATTGATTCACTAAAAAAGACTTGAGTTTTAGTGGGACAAAAAATGTTCTCTTTGCTTTAAAATGGGGGTGGAAGTGGTTCTATTTCAACTGAAATCTTTGTAGATGTAGAAAGTGATTTTTGCCTGAAAATGGCTGCAAGCAGGAAATAATAAAAGATGCTTGTTCACATGACAGTTCAAAGATGCACAAAGTATGGTATCTGCAATCTGGCATGCAGAGCAACTAGCAGAAAGGCCTGCCTGTCCTAGTCATGATTCCTTTCTCTGTGATTCCCACTAGTATTGCCAGGAATCAGCTTGTGCACCACTTGGATTTCCCTCACAGAGACAAGGTCCACAGATTGTCTGAACTCTTTGTGCCTCCATGGAAGTCTCTCTGAGCACTTGACAAAAGTACCTGCCCGTACTTCTACATTTCTGCTGTGGGCATTTTTTTGTGTGTGATTTAATGGCACTTAGCACCGTTTTGTGATACTAAGGGACCATCAAGTGATCTACTGAATCCCATCACTAAACCATGTCTTCTGCATTTCTTACGTATCTCAAGGAGTGGGAATTCCACCACTTCCCTCAGCCCTTTTTAATGCTTGTCCGCTTTCTCCATGATAAAAAATTATTCCTAATGTTCAATCTAAATCTCCTACAGTGCAAAGTACACAGTGGCAATCACATTCCTTGTCCTGCAGCAACACTGTGTCTGATACAAGTCAGGATGCCATGGGCCTTCTGGCCATTTGGGCACACTGCTGGCTCAGTTCACCCAGCAGCATCCCCAGGTCCTTCTCTACCAGGCAGATTTCCCCAAGCCCATACTGCTGCATGGTATCATTAGAAAAACATTAAAAGACATCTTGAATTTTGGAGCTATTGGTTCTTCAACGAAGACAAGATGAAATAAAATAAAACAAAATAAAGCGCAGTTTATTGAAGAGATGGGTGGTAAGAATGGACTGGTTGTTTTGACAACCTGATGTATTAAGAAATATTAAAGTATTAAGTATTAAGCTGAGTATTCCATACTCAGCAGCAGAACTAAAATGAAAAAGAGGAAAAAGAAAGCAGAATAAGTTTGTTTTTTCTTCCATTAGGTCTTGCTGAGGATGAAAAATAAAATTGCGTCACTTTTGCGTAGCAACAACAAAGAACTGAATGTTCCTTCCTGGACAATTTTTTAAGTATAAAGATTCATATCCTACTGAAAATTTCACCAATCTGCTTTTTCCTCTGATTCTCAGACTGCAATCAAGAAAATTAGAGAGCTGTATGTTGTTACTATAGTAATGAATGTTTGCAGTGCATAAAAAGAAACCGGCCAGTTAAAGATATGTATCTTCCAGGGAAAATAGAATACAATTTTTCATAATTTTGACCACTCAGTGCTTTTGTAGCTGTGGGTTCTAAGAAATGAATGTTCCTATGGTAGTGAAAATGTTTGGTTACTCATTTTTTCTCATTTTTTCATTTTCAAAACGAACAGACATTTGAACAGTCACTAAAGACGTGTTATTTGGAGGCATGCTTACCATTGCATAAAAGTGAAGAGTGATTCTGGATGGCCTGAATATGCTGAAGAAGGGTTACCAATTTGTGAAATAACAGTGAATGGTACCAGAGACAAAACTCATGGACCTGGGGGAGTAAAAACATAAAAAGTTTTGCTTTAAGTGGAAATTTGTTATATGCAAAAATGACAAAGAAAAGTATAGAGATCAGACCACAGAACTACAACAGTGTTAGCAAATTAAAGATGTTAGGGCAATGGTCCAGGCGTTGGAACCAAGGATGGATACTGGTATATCATTATAACCATACTTGGTATATTTCTGGCCAGGATCATCTGGGACTCTGGTTCAGTTGTTAGGTTAGGCCATGGGCTGTACCCAGTAGGTGGGTTGAGTACAGTCACTCTATTTGAGGGCCAAGAGAATTTAATCATACATACATGGGGAGAGTATGTAATTTACCTTGAGGCTAGGTAATGGTCCCTGCCAATGGTTAATATTGCTACAGACATAGCTGATTACTGCAAGCTAATATGAGCAAAGACTATACAAAACAGCTTCTTCCAGTTGATATATATTGCCTGATAATTTGATGACGACCCCTCTTGCTTAGGAATGATATGCTTTTTCCTTTTTTTAAGAGGCAGCAGTTACTGGCCAAGGCGAATGTGTTCCAAAGGTGGTCCAATTTTGTGGCAGATGATTTTGTGTCTCCATTTGCTCAATTTGTTAATGCAGAAGACCCTGACTTTCAGAAGGCAAACTACCTCTGCATAGCTCCAGCAACCTCATCCTTTATAATTCAAGATCTGTGTGCTGACAAAGCTTTCTTGCTCTTGAGCAATGCCTGAAAATAGTAGAAAGCAGATGGTACTTCCTCACTTTCCGTTAGAAACCAACAGAAACACAGGAGCATTCTGGCTGGTTTTGGTTTTCACTTAGGCACTGGCACAACTGTGAAAATCTGACTGAGCTCCTTAGTGACTTAATATGGGTAAACTTGAAGTTAAAGCAGCCTTCGGACAAGCTCACGTGGATCATCGAGAGGGAAAACATTAATTAAAAGCATCAGAGGCTTCTTTCTTTTCTCTTTTCCCATCCAGAAATAATCAGATGGTGCTGACTGAACTGCAGGAGCTGGTAAGGCTGGATTAAAAATGAACAAGGTCTCCATTCCTTTCAGTGTGTCCTCTAGAGCTGGATACAACACATCTCACGTCACATCCTTTTCCATCTCCATTCACACTACGCCCTCACAGGCAGCATGTACAAAGCTAATGTTCATGGCAATACACCAACACCCTAAGCTATCAGATACTCATATTTTGAGTTATGCCCTGGAACAGCGTGGAAGACTCCACATGTTTATACAAGTCTATGCCTTGCCAAGAAGCCAGAAGCAGAAGTCTTCACTGCCAAGAGCTGCAAGGCATGAAAAGAAATGCTAACAAAGGTCTTCATGTGTTACATTGACTGGTAAAGATGAAGAAAAAAAGAATTTTTTTCATTTTAATAGAAATTAAAACAACTCTCATTTTTAATAAATTTGTCCTTGTGCAGTGCAAATGTGGTCCCTAATTTCTCCAAACGTGATCAATTCTCCATCCCAAATACCTTTTATTTTCATTGAATACCTCTCAGACATTGTCATGTCTTTTTTATTTATTTGAGGGGATTATTACTGGCTTTTATGAGACAGTTTTATGAGAAATGACAATCATTATGGAACAGTTCTCAAAAATGCTACATTCTTCCTTGTGTGCTGTAATTAGATGACAAGTGCAGCATTTTCGTGTGTTAGCTGGCTTGGGAAGCAAAAACCAATAGCTTATTTATAAAAGCTTTATATAATTTTCTCCTGAAGCAAAATTAATCCATAGCTTGAAACTCTTTGGCTTATTTTAGTAGGCTTCAGAACTACAGGCATATTTTTATTTAACAGACTGTAACATTGTATACTTCCATTGATTCATTTGCAGAGTATTCAAATCCACATACCAACAAACAAAAGGTAGATCAGCCCTTGCCTAAATGAGACCTAAGTGAGTGCATCTTGCAGAAGATGTCTCACCAACTCAAGGTTTAGTCTTCATCTGGGATAAGATATATTTTAAAATTGTGCATTGTATAGTTTGTGGACAAGAACTGGAAGTAGAATTTTCTTTTGAAAATGATAAATGACCTAGCATAACTTTTTATTTTTTTTATTTTTTTATTTTTTTTATTTTTGGGGGGGAAAATTTAAGGATTAGAAAAAAGTGATAGAAGATACCATAGAATCATAGAATCATAGAATCACCAAGGTTGGAAAAGATCTAAAAGATCATCCAGTCCAACCATTCGCCTATTACCAATAGCTCCCACTAAACCATGTCCCTCAACACAACATCCAGCATCCACCATTATCTGTTCACTGTAAAAGGATGCACTGTCCCACTGTCCCTTGAGGTGTTCAGGGACTTTAGATATTGTAGTGAGGGACGTGGTTTAGTAGGAAAATATTGGTGGGGAGTGGATGGTGGACATGGATGATCTTGGAGGTCTTTTCCAACCTTGGTTATTCTATGGTTCCATGATTCTATGAAACTGTAGGACTATGGCACCCAGGGCTGCTACATCAAAGACTGTACATTCAGTGGCTGTCTTAAGACATGATGGAAAGGATGTACAGCAAAACCCCGGATGAAGGAACACTTTGGGAGATACAGTAAGACAGCATTATTCCTCCCATTGCTCTTTCTAATTTGCTGCCCATCAGTACTGGTACTCTCCAAAGCTGAGATCAGGGTGTGTTGTGTCCTAAAGGCTTGTAGGTGAATGTAGCCATCTTATGGAACTGTCAGCATTTAATAACTCATCTGGAGAGTGCAAGCTCACTGAAGACTCATCACTTTCTTCTTTCAGATTTCTATGGAGTTTGGGGAAGATGTATTTTTAGGACTGGAGATGTGTTTTGACATTAAACTGTCTCTCAGAGGCTGCCCTTCCAAGCCAGCAAACAATGTGAGCCCTCACAGGAGAACTTTACTAAAAAGGTTTGATTCTGAGCCCGTGCAAAGATTTTTTACTTTGAGATCTACATGTTCAAAGGTAGCATGTCCCTAATTCACAACCAGATCTACTAATTAGCTGGAAAAGAAAGGGGGACTTCAGGTCAGTTGGAAACAGAGAGTAACTTGGAACTCGATGCATTTCACAGTTCGCTGTTTTGCAAAATAAAAAATACAATTTACTGAATGGTACTAAGACTGCTGTCTGCTACAGTTACTTTTTTATTTTTTGTATTCATTATTTGTCCAAGTTCACTTAGAAGCAGAACTAGTTTATACCTTTTCTCTTGTGATTGTTACCTTCTCTGAGAAGCTCTATAGCCACAGGGAACAAGGAAAAAAAGTTCCCCTGTTCTGCAGATGCGAATAATTCCAATAAATAAACCTGCCTTTTTTGTTTGGCTTTGAACTCAGGCACACCGGTGATATTCAGGATGAGCAGCTCATAAAAGCTAACAGTAAAATAAACAGTAGCAAAGAGAAATTTCAGGAAAACAAATGGAATTTAGAGAGGAAGACCATACTGCTGAAGATTTCAGCATGACAATAGATAAAATGAAAATCATTTACAGAATTGTGCTTGGCAAATACCTGAAAGATAGGCATCCAACAGCAATGCCACAGTCATTGCGTGGACTGGGAAAAGTGTTGATCCACCATCCAGCAGCCACAAATTAATGGGAAATAGAACTTGTGTGTTCCAGTGCTAATGTTTGCAATAGACTGACACAGAGCTTCCTCTGGCCCCTTGCTGTTGCTAGCAGGGTGTGCATGACATGTCCAGCATGGACTTGCATTGAATAATAACAAAGCTGGCTCTGCACAGGCAACAGGCTTCTGTCAAATCACATTTTCTGCCACCAGGGAGAAATAGGTAGGAGCAATCCAGCATGACTTTCCACCAACAGCCACATTAAACAAGATGATCTGAAGGTTAATCTTCATGTAGCACTGATAACTCTCTAATTGGGTAGGTTCCTAATGATTATTGCTACTTGAAATTGACCGAGTAAAGAAAATTAGCATCTGTTCCTTTGTCACCTAACTAACAGTACCAAATTCAGTTTGGCTCAACTTCTATACACGTTTGCTTTTGTGTTTGTTAGCACATGTATTACAGAGCAGATGTAGCCAATAATGAACGAAGACCTGGTCCAACTCATGTTGGTTTGTGCCAGCTTTGGGTCAATACTTTTAGATGTGGATGAAATTGTTCAAGCATTGCTGAGAGAGGCAGGTTTTGTGGGGCAAAACAAATAACTTCTTATTCACAGATTCTAAAAAAATCAGAATAAAAGCAAAACAGGAACATTTTCAAGCACAACATTCGTATTATCTTTGCCATGGAGTCACTTTTTAGATCCATAACCTGATCCAGCTAGATTTTCAAATAGCAGCTAATGTCAAAGCTGTCAAATGTAATATTCTGTGTTGCTTATGTACCAATGTCAGAGAACTACATTTGAGAGCAATGGCTTCACAGTGTCTGGAAATAAGAAAACTTGGTCTTATTGCAAAGCAGTGTCATAAATGTCAGTGCTTTTAATGAGCCCCAAAACTGCTTTACTGTTTAGCAAGAACTATTGGTGATAAGTGGACAGTTGGGCTGGATGATCTTGTAGGTCTTTTCCAACCTTCGTGATTCTACTATTCTATGATTTTCTAACCTAAAGTAGGATCCAGACTATAAACTCTTTGGTAGTTGTCATTTTACAGATATGGCCTGGGAGTAGATAAGGAATGAAAAGAAAACATCTGTAATATCAGTTCTTGGATGAAGGAAAGAAAGCAAACATGCAGATAAAAGGATGTCTCAATAACCCTCTGGGCTACTTTTAGTTATTCAGTAAGCATGAATACTTAGTCTATCAGGAGACTTTTAGGGAGTGTTATATATATTAGAACAGTCATTCGGTGTTTGTACAGTCTCATTTACAGTGTTATATCTCTGAAGAAGTCATGTTATTCCTAATGGGCCAAACTACCTGGTAAAAAAGTGTTTCCCTGTGACTTTTTGGAGAAAACGATCAATCTGACACCTCTAAATTCTCTTCTGGAAGATCCAAAATCACCACACAGCTCCAAGCATAGTTATTCTTTCCTTTGACAACCTGATTTGTGTGTGAAAAATAGTTAACAGGTATTCCTCTGAAAGACTTCTTATCCTGAAGGCTTTAGGTCACAAGTAATATTTATATGTCCCACGGGACAGTTATAATATACACTTGGTATGAAATAGGACAACAAAGAAAGTAAGTCAAAAATGGGTAATGATTCTTTTTTTTTAATTGTTCTACTGCAACACCAACCATCAGGAAATTTCCTCATCCTTTGCAGATATTAGACCATGAGATGTAGTAGTATTTCTCTGATACACAAATGCAGTTCTCAATCTGTAGGTGCAGCATTGCTTCAATCTGGCACATGCTGGTGCTTCGTGTGGAGCTTTTCTGCTATGCAGAGTTCCTGTGGTTGCACCAAAAAAGAAAACAAAACAACCAAAAACAAAAAATACAAGGGATTTTATCAGTTGGAAACAAATTAGCTTTTAAAAAAAAAAAAAAAACCAAAAAAAATACCCACAAAACTTTACAGCTAAGCCAGTTCTTCTCTCTGCCCGCTTGAATAAAAGTGTTGGTAAAGGGAAAGTGGAAAGAATGAAGCCATCAGTATGTCTATGCTGAAAACAAAAACGAAAACAGAAATGAATTTACATCTGCGTTCTAATATTGGTGAAAAAAAAAAACCCAAATTTGGATTACAGCTTTTCCTTTTTCCTTTTTTTTTTTTTTTTTTCCATTTGTGCAACACTTTTTGCTCTCATTACTGAAGTGTTCGGAGGAAACGAGCCGTGAAGAGAAGCACTGAAGCGGTATGGGATGTTTAGATCTTTTTCCTTCATTTTCTCCAGTATGAGCAAATAATAGCTGTTATGTAGGTGGGGGTGGGATGTAAGCAATAGTGAATCCAGCTATGCTCAATTTCAAAATCTGTTTTCTAACAAGATGGAAGAGGAAGCCTGGTGTCTAATTCTGGTAGAATCAGTCTGAAGTCTCAGTAGCATGGACATATCTACCAACATCTCAGTGCTGTTCATCTGAAGTGGTTTTATTTGCCTTTTTCTTTGTTTCTGTGTGTTTGTTTTTATAGTATTCTCTCATCTCTGTGGATATCCAACCTTTTGGCTTGCCAGGGCTGCACTGAGTGAAGAGGAGAAGTTTAGGGCTGCATCTATGAAGGCTGCTCCGAAAGAAATGCCTTCTATTTATTTCCATGGAAAATACAGCAGATGCAAAGAGCACAGTAACACTATTTGATAGAGCAAATTCTTAATTATAAAAAAACATTTTTCAACTATCACTACCATTTACTATGCATAGTCACCAGTGATGAATAAAAGACTACGTTCTGTGCTTGTGCAAATCTGTACCAGTGGAGGTGACCCACTGTCACTGTCACCACTGCTGAAAAGCATGGTCCACTGCATCACTGCACTGACATCCACTGTTTGGTCATCACAAATATTCAACAAATGTTGATGAATGTCAGT